GTTTTGTATGTATAAATAAATCTTAAAAAAAAAAAAAAACCCAACCCTTGAAAGCTGAACATAGATCTGCAGCTTTCGGAGAGTGAGTAGGTTAGAAAGGGGCTAGAATGAAGGGGGTGGGAGAGCACGATGCATTATGGTGGGGGACTAAAGGTGCTTGGTGGTGAGAATGCTACATGACTACCCCTGAGGGGGAATCCAATACCATCAAAACTCTAGTGAGGGTGTAAATCAATGGCACTTCAATAACAATTTTAAAAAAGGAGGTACAGAGGTTCCCAACTGCAGCCTACTCACCTTCACAGAAATCCTTCCTGCGGGTGGACTTCTAAGTTCCTAATATGAGACACACCACACTGGGAGTCACTATCTCCAGAGTGGTGTTGGTACTCTGGCTGATACTCTTGATTTAGTACACGTTTTTATGGCACACAAAACCCTCCGCATCAGCAGCAAGTGGAGAGAGGCACTGACAAGGAACTGAGTGTCCTGGACTCACCATCTTTCGAAACCAATTACTTTCTAGATAAAATTAATTTTTCTTTCACTTTAGGCTCACTTAAAGTTAATAAAGGAAGGATATCTGGCAGGATCATCTCTCTCTCCATCTATCCACCCACTTAATCACTTAGACTGAGGGTCTGGGAATGCACATAATCATTGGAGTTAATTGGTTCTGGCACCTTCCATTTCCTAGTAACCTCTGCCTTGTCTCCCATTAGAGGTAAGATCTTTTAGGGTGAGAGTATAGGTCAGACTTTTCAGAGAATTTTTTCAATTTTCTGTATGCCACAGGAGTAAATTAAAATAAAAAGAGAAAGAGCCAATAGCTATGTCCTTTATGAAGTACTGGGCTCTTGGTATTGTAGGATTAAAGAGAAATTCCAGCGGTAGGCTAAGGCCAGTGCACATACCCTCTCCATAACTGATTAGTGAGAAGACCTCTCTATAAGTTTTAAGTACATACACGTTCATGCTTTTTCCTTTAAATAAATTTCAACTGCTTCATAAACTGAGAGCCACAAAGTAAGGATGACTAGAAGCCACGGTTATATACAAATCCTATAGCATTTGTATTTGTAATAAGACAGCCACAAGCTTCATTAACAGCTACATTTGCTAGCTCCCCACAATGAAGTTTTGGATAATTGAGAGCAAGTCAGCAGCATAGTTTTCTTATTCTATTAGAAAAAAATTACATGAAATTTTATTTAAATTACCTGTATGTGTGTGGCAAAGCACTGATGCCCTTTTGTTCCCAATGAACATAGCTAATTCCAAACAAGAAGTCACTGAGAATCCTTTTATGACAGATTCCAGTGCTAATTCATTAGGTCTTAGCCCCAAATTTATCTTAAAACACATTTTCTGTAATAATGGACAGAATACCTTGAAGCATCTTTTGTTCAGAGAGAGGACTTTGGCTTTCTCAGTAGAGTGCTGGAGGAATACTGGAGAAAAGGGACTCTCTCAGGGGGCTGCTGAAGGGGGTGTCATTAGAGTGGGTGCTGTCTCAGGTTGGGGGTCCCAGAACATGTGTCCTTCAGTGACCTTGCAGCTTTGGCCTGGTCTGGTGATAACCTCCCCACAGGTCCTTCCACATGGACACAATATGCTCCAGGGCTCCTGTCTGCACCGGCAACATTAATTTGGTGCATACACACATACACTCTCTCTCTCTCTCTCTCTCTCTCTCTCTCTCTCTCTCTCTCTCTCTCTCTCTCTCTCTCTCTCTCTCTCTCATACACACACTCACACGTGCCAGGCCATGGGCTGTGGCTCACCTGGCCCTCCCTGCACTTCAGTGAGTTGCTTCCAATCTGTCCAGGACTACTGACCAGACTCATTTCTCTGCCCTCCAGTGGGCTGAACTTGTCCAAGGTCTGAAGTCCAGTCTTCCTTGCAAGTTTGTACCTTCTTTGGTGTTCTTCCTCAGTTAGAGGGTAAAATCAGTTTTCTTATATCTGATAGCAGCTTTTATCGGAATTTAATAATTCTTCACATTTCACTTCCACCATTTAGATCACCATGTGGTGTTTATCCCAACTGGTCACAGACTGAAACAACACACTACACACTACTCAGCAACTGGTAAATGTCAGGAGAAAAGAGAACAAGGAATCAAAGTTATTAGTGATGAAACTAGACTCTTCAGTATGTGGCCATTATTCACAGACAAGTATCACTGCAGACACACACCAATAAACCATGTACTTCACTTGATGTAGGGTCAGCTTTTATTTATTTTTAATTTATTTATTTATGCATACAAGAACTGGGGTACAGGCCAGAGGTGTAGGGGGTGAGAGGATGCACCAGAGACAGAGTCCAGAGCAGAACAGGCTGACTGAAATACACTGCTGAGGGGAGCAGCGGGTGAGACAGGAGAGGTCTGCTGTGCCATGTGGGTAGCTCCCTGGGCGGGGATCAAATCTGCAGTGGCTGCAGATTTCTCCATAGTTTGTGTCTTAACCCCTTGTACCACCAGGGAGGCCCAGGGTCAGGTTTTATATAACAAATGTAAACAAGTAGAACAACACATACAAGTAATTACTGTCACTACAGAGTTGACCCAGACAAATAGTATATACAAATTAAAAAAAAAATAACAAAAAAAGCAGCTTGTGAGATATTAAACAGCAGATATTTATGCTCACAAGTAAATTGCAGAGACTATACTTTCATCAACATCATGCAAACATAAATATTAACACTCAGGCCCAACAAACTCCACGTTAATATAACTAAGGGATAAAGATCTGTTTTTCTAACAACATACTGAATTTAACTGGTGACTGGTGATTATGCCCTTACTGAAAGAGGAAAGGTTTATTATCTCCTTTTTCAAATGTTTACCAGGTACAAGACACAGTAGAGGTAAAAAAATGACTTATTAGCATAAAGCTTTTAGGATTCGGCTTATTTGGTGACTCATGTCTACTGCAAGTCATGCAGAAGATGCTGTTCTAATCAGTAAAAAAATGAGAATGTAACAAGATAGTGAAAATACTACTCAATAAAGAGCATTTGCAACGAGTGACTAATAAAGTTTCCAGTAATAAACATTGGAGAAAACAAATCAACACTTTTCATCTGTTCTCTGCTAAAATGACTCATTTTCAGAAAGATAGCTCTCTCTTTTAGGACACCACCACCACCTATATTCCCTTATCACTACCTTGTCATTTCCCTTCACCTATCTGATTCTGATTCTACTAGTACCTCTATCCATCCTCACTGCAGATGTAACTCTTAAAGTTTGGGGGTTTTGGTAAAGTTGAGATCTGAGTCATTCTGAACGGATATACATAGGACATAGGAGCCCTAAATGAATCAACATCTCCAGAGGAAAGGATGTTCCTGCTATTGTCCTTCAGAAACTCCCAAGCCTGAATGCTGAAGTCATTTTACATGCTGAACACGTAACTGGTAGAATTCTGTCTGCCCAGTCACTTTATGACTAGGGTGATATATCCGTCAGTATTCAGTTTCTCATGATTGGGACACAGTATAATAACCAATATTTAGTAGGCATGTAAACTAAAACAGTACAATAGGGAGGCTGCAGCTGGAATCATTCCTTTTGGTTACCAGTCTGGGGAGTGAAAATATTGCTGTAGTCATCACTTCTGCTACTAGTTGGTTAGGATGTGGCAAAGAGCAGATTGTTTAAGAGTCGCTGACCACTAAAGACTGGAAGGGAGAACAAAGGACAAGTCTAGTCTAGTTGATCAGAGCCATTGCCAAATGCTGCTCTCTTTGCCCCAACTATTGATCTCAGAGGGATTTTTTGAGCTTAGTCGTAGGTTGTCCCAGAGTCCAGAATCTGAATTTCAACAAGTGATGTGAACAGTATGTGACACGAACTGGATTGACAGGTGAGAAAAAGAGAGACATTTTAATAGATGGGATAATAATATCAATGAACTAAATAAATCAAATTAGCATGTAAAGTATTTGTCTGTATTTATCTTGGGCAAGACCACATAGGTGTGGTAATTCACTAGAAAGACAAATAACGAGGTACAAAGCAACATGCAAAGCAGCTACAAAAAACGAGGCTTGTAAGGACTATAATTCACTCTAACTCTCATTTCAGGGCAAGGTTCCAAACAAAATAATTAAAAAAAAAAAAAAAAAAGAAAAAAATCCTTCTACTTAACAAGCATGGTTACCATCAATTATTTTAATGACAAAAACACAGGTTTTCCCCAAAAACTACTTTGCTAAGAGACTAGCACCAAAAATTGTTTAAAAGTCTGTTCAGGGAAAGGAAGATATTTTCCCATAATACATTCTTTTTTAATCTGTGGCAGATTAAAGATTAAATCTTTGGCAGAAACAAACTTTTTAACAGCAGATTATCTATATATTCTTATGAGCTCATATGAATTTCACAGAGAGAATTAACATTTTAGAAAATCTAGGACTGAATCCTATTAATATTCATCACTGTTTTGTAGACTATAGATGGTATCTGTGTGGTTCATTAAATTCCCTCTTTTACAAAAAGGGAAAACACAAAATGCCACCCCTACTTAGTTCACAGATGTGAACCAATTCAACAGGGTCATCAACTTTGTTAGCCCATGCAGGAAGAAGAGGCTGGGCACATTAAGAGAGGTCACATGTTACAACACACACACACATTAACTTTTTTATTCCAGGCTAAAAAAGAACTCTAAGAGAAATATTTTAAGTCAGAGGGACAAAAAAGCAATGAGAAAAGCACTTATATCTTGGCAGTGGTAATAGAAAATTATCTTCCAGAAGCTGTTCACATTTCCTGTCATTTTACAAATGAAGGAAGGAGCTATTCTGCCAAAACTGAAAAAATGTTTTAAAGGTATTTACTTCTCTATTGTAAACTAGGGTAAAGAGGCTGGTACAGAACGGTTTTGTCCAAGAGAACTGTAATGCCACCCATATGCACAATTTGAAGTTTTCTAAGTGGTTATATTTTTAAAAGGATATTAGTCTTAATATTCACTTTTACCCAAAATTTAAAAATGCAACCAACATAAAATATTAATAATTTACATTCTTTCTTTATAACCAGCTCTTCAAAACCTGGAATATATTTTATACTCACAGTACATCACAAATTCAACATGGCACATTTCAAATGCTCAATTTCTCTGTGGCTTGTGGGTACCACACTGGACAGTACTGTTCTGTACAGAGAGATTTCATTTCTCTAACATTAATGATGAAAGATATTTATATTAGAACTTTTTCCATGGAAAGTTTGGTTATAGTGAATTTTCTTTAGAACCAAAAATGATGCATATAGTAAGCGTGGAGTATTGTTTTATAAAAAGGTCTAACATTTATGCCATTCATTATACCAATGTTGCACTTAATATATGAGTGCAGGGTCCTTAGCCTGTTAGCAGGAGTCTCAGAAGATCTGTATTCTATATTCTTCTTGTACTTAAAACTATGTGAAACGTGCTGCTGCCACTACACACTCTGGGTGTTGCCCACATGATGTTCATTCAGTCAGAGGATTAATCTCGAGTATAAATTTAATACTAGTGCCTATGACTAAAAGAAATATTTTTTAAAACATTCTTTGAAGTATAACATCATTTTAGCCTATAGTTATGTCTATTTATATGTTGGCATATTGGGGAAATGTGCATATATAAACATATAGTCTACGTTGAGATTTCCTATTGGTGAAATTTAGTAGCAGAAAATCAAATCTCGACATTAATTTCCTACCATGTAACTGGAATCATGAGCTTTAAAATAACTTCAAAGAAGGAAGCTTCTAGAGCATAAAGAGATTTCGACAGTACTTTTTATCTTAACTGATATGCTAACAAGTTGCAAAAATTAGACACAATTAAAACATATGCATTTAACTTTATTTTCTCCAAATAGGATAAAGTTTCACAAGCTTTTAATATTTCTACAAATACTTCAGATTTTTCTACTCTAAAGATGGTTTCTTTTGACCTTAATAGTTAAATAAGCATTAACTGGTGAAAGGATAAAGAACTTTTAAAAATTAGTTTAAAATACAAAAGTAAAAAACATGAATTATTTCTAAGAAGAAATACGAATTCCCATGGTAAAACATGTTCAACTTATTAGCAATCAAATACATGTAAAGTAAAATTACAATGAAATATCCTTTTACACTCATTAGCTTGTTAAAAATTTGAGTCTGATGATCCCAAATGCTGGCAAGATCTAGAACACTAGAAATTTTAGTATACTGATGGCGATGTAAGTTGTCATCATTATTTTAGAAATCGGGCCTTATCTATTAAAGTTGTTAATGTGCTTCATTACATGACATAGCAATTTGATATCTGGTATACATCCATTCCTATTTAAGTCCACCAGAAGCCACATAAATGAATGCTCATAGTACTACATGTAATGACTTAGTTTTCTAGAAATTCATCAATTGGACTAGGATGGCTAGAGCCCAGTCTACCACCTTGTCTTCAATTCAAATTAAGTCTTGCTAGCAGAATAAGGAGGGTGAAACACTAAAATAATCATGTGGCTAATACAACTTTTTCAAGCTGTTTTCACTACAATTACCAATCTCGTATTTTCCTCACATTAAAAACTTACGTAAATTCAATGCATAAAATGAAAAGGAAAATGCCATTAAAAAATAATGTTCATAGAGACATTTCCTTTTTTATGTCAAAGAAAGTAGTTTCAATATCCAGCAATAGGGGAAAATTGTGATATATTCAAACAATGAAATAATACTTAGCAGTGAAAATAAACTAGAATACTTGTTTCAAAATGGTAACTCAATTGCAATGAACATAAAATCAAAGTGACAAGAATACAGTTTAATTCCATTTATTATTTAAGGATACATACATACAGATAAAATGATAAAGGACAGAAAGGCTATGATGGACAGAGTTCAGGAGACAGGCTCCCTTTATCAAACAGGGGGGAGCACACCAAGCCTTAGAGGGAGGCCACAAGCTGGTGGCAGGGATGCAAGGGCTTATTACGCTTTCTATTTTTATATGTGTGAGTGTGTGTATTACATGGTATGCATATATATTCTATTGCATGTATAAAATAATTTCAAAACTGGAATCGTTGTAAGAAGCAAAGAAAAAGATCGTGCACGATGTTTGAGAATTCAATGAACATCACCTGGAGCGCTATGAACTTACCTCTGCTCTCATTCACCCTCGGCAGTGAGTGCTGCCTTTGCTTCTCTGTGTCTCTCATCCTTGAGGGAGAAGACTTGCTCTATTTAGTCAGCACTCGTAACATTCTAGGGGCTCAACACTTAGTGACTGAAAGGATGACCAAACTAACCTGACCTGCATTTTTAGAAGAACTAGAAAATTCCAAAAATCTGGGTTACAAGTGGGTGGTAATTTTGGTTAGGTTTCACAATTTAGCATGTTTCTGAAAACTTACAGCCTGTTCTCTTTTATCTCCTCACATGCCCTCTGTCTTGGTGTTTAAGATTTGAAATAGTTCTGTGATGAAATCAATCTCCAACTCTGCCTTCAGAAATGGTTTCCTCTGCTTTCAGAGAAGTTGTATCAACGGGGGCGTGTTAATAGGATCTGGGGCTACAGTGTTCTTGTTTTCTGCAGCCAATTATAGGAACAAGTGCACCCCTTGTGGCTTCAGTGTACTTTGGGATCACACAGTAATCCATCTGAACCAAGCATGGGAGGGGAGATTTAAAGCCAGGCTAGGGCCTGGTCACTGTCTGAGATGATTCTGTGGTCCCCTCCCAAAACACACAAACTTAGATCCACATGTGCATTTCAATGGTCAAATGATCTTTCTGTATCTTTACAACTAATTTGCAGCTTTCATGTATGGAGTTCACAGGTGGGAACAGAAATGCAGCATTTCATCAGGAAAGTTTCAACCAAACACAGAACTAAAATTAGAAAAATTATAAGAAATGGCAGGGAACAGTCCATTTTCAGAATATGTTTTCTGGAATTTATTCCCCTTTAATGCTGAATATAAAATTTGAAATTTCACCAATGCCTTTAGAGACAAATACATACACACTGAAATGTAAAAACAGTAATTGTGTGGATTAAAGTGGACGCCGACACTTAAGAAGAGCTGTTAAATTTCCAGAAAAAAACAAAACCCTACATAGCAAAATCAAACAAACAAGGAAACAAAATAAACAAATAGAAAGAGGCTTTGGTACCTTTGAAAAACAGAAGACAAAAATAAGTTTAATTCATGAATAAATTCATATAATACAAAAACATATGTGGGGGGGTGTTGACTTAAATCTATAAAACAGAAACCAGTCTAAAATATATTAGAGTATGAGGGGGAAAAAAAATCTTCCTTTTTTCTTCTCTGATTTTAAAGGAACACTACAATTTGGGAAAAGAAGTATTTCCCCAACTACATTTTCTTCTGGTCTGCATATACCTACAAGGATGGCCCTCTGTATTTTACTTAATTTTAAAATGGCATGATTTGACTTTCAGCAGCATGTTTTCTGTGCCCCAATAAGCCTACTACAGGAAATGCAAATTCTGCCTTCAGATACCCTTGATATCACATCTATGTCTGCAATTCTCATCCATTTCTTTCCTAGGTTTTAAAGACAGCAATTATCAAAATTTAAAGGCAGCTAGTTAAGGAAGGGAAGAGGAAAAATCATTATATGTTTGAAATTCAGCTGGCAAAACAGTCCAAGTAAAGACACAATATTTTCTGGATATTGTGTGGTTTCAAGAGATAATACCGCAGTACTCTACAGAGCCTGGGCACTGTGATCAGTGCCACATGACATGTTTCTAGTTGACTGTTAACAAGTACAGTAGCAGCTGGGACTGGTCTCATTTCTTTGCTAATTAAAAACAAAACTGGTGGGTGGGGGTAGATGACATGCACTAATTCAACACTATTATCTATCTACTCTGTTTAGGAGAATCATACTGGGTCTACTAAGGTTAATTTAAAAGTTTTAAGACAAACCAGTCTGAGTAACTTTTATTGTCTAGCCAGAATCATGTTTATCCTATAAACCCAGAATTAAACTTACAAAGTCTCAACATGACCAAGCTGGTTCTTGGTACTCACTGGCGAGAATAGACTAAATGTAAATCAGATAATTGTAACACAAAAGTTTAAAATTGCTGTATCTTAAAAAAAATAATTGAAAGTCTTCAACAAAATATCCAGTTCAAAAAAATTTTTTCCTGGATAGTCCCTGGGATTTATCATATGGAATTTGATATGGACCTTATTTTAATATCAAGTAAACAGTAAGATCCATGATATCACAAAAAGCTTTCCTTGGAGAGGAAACTGTTGCTCATGTTATCTGTTCCAAGAAACAAGAAATCTGTGTCATGCTTTTCTTCTGGTTGTAGTCCTGGGCTGCAAATCTCAGGCTGGGATTTCACTTTAGCATTCAACAAGTTCTTTAGAATAGCCCATGTTCAACAAGTTGGGGGCTAAAGGAGGTGAAGAGGAGAAGGGGAGTGGGGAAGAGAGAGGCGGTGGGAGACACATGTGACAGGCCTTAATTCCTCTGTTCTTTCAACTTCTTCCAGACTTCCTGCTCAAAACGTGTTCCAGCAACATGATGCTGAGAATAGCAGAAAATTTTAGGCAGCCCTCTGAGCACTGATCCTCTTCAAGAAATTCCCACATTGGACAACTAAAATAGGCAGGTCAAGGACGCAGAAAAGTGCCCCCATCCTAATAAAGTGGATGTGTTCTGAGTTTCTTAGCATCCATGCCAAAAGGGACAGAGATTTTACATGGCAAGTACAATTTGGAGTTATTCCGACAGCCCTTTTCTTATATATGCTGATCTGAAAATTTATTGGTGCTTATATATGGAATGAGAACATGTATCTACATTATTCTGAGAACTCTGAGACTGTGCATTGGCCAGAAACACATGCTAGTAAAGTCAGAGGACCAATGAAAAGTAACACAGGAAAAAAATTAAAATTGTGCAACAATATTAATGTCTTTTAGCATGCCTCATCAAGGGTTCACAAAATATCAATATATCTGAATAAGATCTTCCCTTCTCAAAAAATATAATCCCTTCACAAAATAGAATAAGCAGCTGTTAGGGGAGCTGCATTTAAAAATATATGTGCACTTAAATATAAATAAATTGCTTAGAGTTGAAAATGCCTTCAGATATGAGTCAGACAATTTTCCTATAAAGTTACTATCTGATTTAGTGCACCTCTTAAAATATATCTTTTAAGCAATCTCATGTATTTAGGTGAAACCTTTCCCTCGCAAAAGATAAAGAAGCATATATTTTCCAAAATAGCAATTACTTTCATCCTTGTAACTTGGTCCGATCATACAATATTACAAGTGATCTTCGATACATTTGTAGGCGCTTGGAAGATTTATGGGGGTAAAAATTTCTATTATCAAAAGAAGATTAGAACATCTAATTGTTTCTGCAGGTATTATTGCAAAGCACTGGAACAGTGATGCTTGTGATTCTGCAGCAAAAATTTTCAGCCCTTTGTCAATCAGCATTACTTTTTACCTTTTCTGATCACAAGATTCTAATAGCTTAACAGACTAATTTCAAGGTTGCAACCCAGGCAGCTTATAGAGAAACAGGTACGAAAAAAACTGGCATCAACTACAACCACGGGCAGATACAACATTTTCGCTCTGATGGTGCCACCCACTTGTTTTAGTAATTAAGGAAGAAAACCCATAATAGATTATAGTGCCTCCAGGTGAGTGAGGCAATGACAAGCAAATCTGAAAAAAAGAAAAGACCCACCACAGTCCTGATTTGATTTAAAGCAATCATGCAATTCCGTTATACCCACACCTTCCAAAAACACTTTTTTCATGGCAAGCAAAGTTACTGATGATGCATGTGGCTTTTGTCACAGTGATGCATTAGGTAAGCAGGTGTGTGCTGAGTACCAAGGGGCGCTCCAAAGTCAATCTCCATCATCTTCTGCTTTTCGTCTTTAAGGTTCTGCCTATATATTTTTTTTTAAAAAAAGTCAGTTATTGTATTGTGTTGTTAAGAAAATTCACCCTGCCCATAATAATTTAAATGTCAGGAACACAGATATTGGAAATCACAATAAATCACCCCCACGTGTCTGATAAAAGCAAATCTCGGGTTTTAGAATCAGAGCCCAGATTTAAATCACACCTACCCAACCTGCCAAATATATGAAAGTGGGAAGAAATTCATTTTCAAAAACTGCTGAGACTCCTCCCAGAGGTACTGTTCCACTCACACCCAGGGGAGTGGGGTGTGGGGGATTAGCTCGTGCAAAGGGCCCTGTAGAGGGTGACCTGAGGTGAAGAACAGTACCGGCATAGCATACCTATCCTGATAGCTGCCCCCAGTCTCCCAAGAGCCTTCACTGACCCCTCCCTTTAGGAAGGTTCCAGGATGCATCCACTACACAGACGCCTGGCACAGGGGGGCCAGTACCCAGGAATTTACATTTTATATATTTAAATATCACTCTTCAATGGCAGAGATCTGAAAGGAGAAACTTCTATTCAGGTCTTGACTTGAATCTATTAAAATAGCAAAGTTCATGGTTTTCTAGCTGAAAATCATAAGTACAACAGTCTCCTTTTCTCAGGATTAGGTAGGTACCACGTGGGACATGGTAGGTACCACTATAGCCTCTGGCAGCCATGGGACACTGTTACAGAAAACTCCCAGGGTTTCTGTAACTTTCAACTTCTCGAGGTAAGTGGGAGATTGGTATTTTTGATATCAGCAAACCACTGGAATTCTCATTTTTGTTTTTTTTTTTAAGATTTATTTTTTATTTATACAATAGCGGGGATACAGGCCAGAGGCTCAGGAGGGTGAGAGGACTCACCAGAGACAGAGTGGGGAGCAGAACACGCAGAAGGACCAAGAGCACTGCTGAGGGGAGCAGCGGGGGTGACAGGAGGGGTCTGCTGCGCCACTACTGGAATTCTTTTAATGATTCTGTACAGAACAAATACATCTGGGGCCAATGTGGCCTGCAGGCTACCAACTTTGACCTCCTCCCTTCATCTGTCTTGGCCACCTTTGAGACAGTCCTGCCAGTCGGAATCTATGCTACACCCAGGCCTGTTGGGGCCATGAACATTCTCTTTTGGTTGTCTTTCTTCCCTCGCCCTACTGTGTAGCAATTATAGATGCTAATGGTGTCTTTATATAAGATCCCTAGCAGGCTTTCTATGTTTTTTTTTTTACACGTGTAAATGTAGAGAAGAAAGGGGAACTTTCACCTTTTAGTATATTGCACTCATGAATGCTTTGTTGCATACTTAGGCCACAGATTGTGTAATAAATTGCTACCAAAGGAAAAGAATAAATGACTAGAAAGGAGGCAAACACTGAACTGCTCTTAAAGATAGTGTTACTTCTTATCTAGAAGATGAACTATGAGCTGTTATTAACCCATAAAACCCCGAACAGCCGGTGAGATGGAAATACTGCTCCATGGACTTTCCACTCCGGTTCCATGCGTTACTACCCGGAGGGACTAACGCAGCCACCTGAAAATGGTGGGCTGAAAGGGAGGGATGCCCAGAGCCTTACTGCTTTCAGAATGGGCGACTGAAATCAAGTAAACATGAATGGCATCAAGACCAACTTTAATACTTTGGCCAGTAAGTCATGTGAGAATACACATTTTACAATTCATAGACATCCTAGAGATTTCTGAAAGAAATCATTTTTTTAAAGAGTGAAAAAAAGCCAGCCTGCAAAGTCTCTTAAGACATCTATATCTTTGGGGAAAATGAGAACAAAGATGGCAAGTACAAAGTATTTTTTAAGGTTTTTGCATAGAACAATGATGTGCACTGTATTTATACATCCCTGATGTTACTCCAACCCCAGTTTTTTCCAGTTCTGTGAAGAGAAATCCAAAGTGTTTAGTATCTTTGGATGAAACACAACATAAAAGTACTGTAATTTCCCTAACAAGTATTCCAGTGTTCTATCTTTATAAAAATAGCTTTAAATATTATATATGTGGGTTTGCCTCTGTTTAAAACCTGTGCATGGAAACCACCCACAACCATCTGTGGACTTGCTGATTTAAAAACAAAGCAAGACTTCATATCAGCTATGAACTGCAGGTGCTAGTATATAATTTATATTATTGCTAGTCTCTGCCTTCCTCCCACAGGTGTTCCAGAAATGGTACAAATCCTGGGCGGCCGCAAAAGACCTATTACTTATAGACATCAAAGTTCCCAGTAATGTACTTTCATTTCAATTCAGTGTTAAAAATAGACACTTTAGAAATCAGTCTCAATCTGAAATACAGTCAAAACATCAATTACTATGTACTATATAAAGAGTACAAAGAAATATACCAAAAATATTAATGTAGTTATCTCTGGGTGGTGGGATAATTTTTCTACATGAGCCTAGACTACAATAATTTTAAAAAGTATTTTTTAAAGGGGGAAATAAAATATTATCTTACCCCCCGCCAAAAAAAATTCTATTTCTTATTTTGAAGGTAAATCCATGTGCTTCACAAACTTGCATTAATATAATGCAAGACCACTTCCAGGTCTATATTTAGAAATGTCTGAGTCTTTTGTGATCTCTAAAAGACATGTAACATAATGAAGTGGCTTTAAAAACATTCTGATTTGCTTTCTGTTCTAGGTTGACCATCTGTTACTGTGGACCACCTCTCCTCCAATGTAAATGAAATAAACATACAAAAGATCTTAGAAATATGGGTCTGAAGCTATCTCAAAAAATATAGTGTAAATTTACACTTAAAAAGAAAACACCAGGGCCTCCCCAGTGGCACAGCAGGTTGAGCGCCGCGCTGCAGGGCTGTGTGCAGCCTCTGCAGTGCAGGTTGGATTCCCAGCCAGCCGGGGAGAGACCCACATGGCATGGCAGACCTCTCCTACCTCGCCTGCTGCTCCCCTCAGCAGTGTCTTTGGTGTGTCTGCATGTTCTGCTTCCCGCTCTGTCTCTGGTGAATTCTCTCACCCTCCCGTGCCTCTGACTGTACCCCAGTTCTTGTATAAATAAATAAATCTTTATTAAAAAAATGAACAATGATGTAAAAAAAATTGTTTAAATTAATTTTTAAAAAAAAAAACACCAATTGCTTTTTGCTACCTTAAATCTTTGACAAATGGGGAATAAATTATAAATAGGCTAAATTACAAATAAAAATAAATTCTAATATACAGCCTCAACTGAAAATTTGAAAAAAAAAAAAAAAAGAGTGAGTTTTTTAATGTTTTTATATTGGGCAGTCTCTAATTGTGCATTTGAAAAAAACAAAGCTAAGAATTTAGGAGCCTATATATGCTTTTCTCTAATATCTTCAACCCAACCCCTAAGAACAATTCAAGAAAGATAAATTTAAAACAAGAAAAGATTTCCTTACCTTTGATGCCAACCGTGATTTCAGGCCTAAGAATGAAAAGACTGTATTGCTTTCTTTTGATTCAAAAAAACTGTCATAATCCTAGAAAAAAAAAGGAAAAAGAATCAAAAAACAATTATCTAAAAATTTGATATTTTGAAATGCTTACGGAAATAAAAAATGAGCCATTGCACTGGTCAGGCCAGGATTTGCTCTGCTTGGGTCTAAAAATTCCTTTGAGGGCCTCTCCGGTGGCGCAGCGGTTGAGCGCTGGGTTGCGAAGCTGCCCGCAGCCTCTGCAGCACAGGTTCAATCCTCGGCTGCTCCCCAGCTATGGAGGAGGGTCCAGTATGGTGCACAGACCTCTCCTGGCGCCCGCTGCTCCCCTCAACAGTGTACTTCGGTCCTTCTGCCTGCTCTGTTTCCCACTCTGGCTCTGGTGAATTCTCTCACCCTCCCGCACGTCCGACTGTACCCAGTGCTTGTATAAATAAATAAATAAATAAATATATAAATAAATAAATAAATCTTAAAAAAAAAAAAACTTAAAAAAAATATAAAAAAATAAAAATTCCTTTGAATATGATGATGAATGTAGTAAGTTTTTAATCTGAAGCAAAAAGTAAAATGAAAACAGAAATGAAACTGGAAAGCACTCTTTCCCTTATGTGCCAAACTAACATTTATTTGTGTGTAATCACTCTGACCTAAGATTCCACTTTAGTACTTAAATATGGAAGGCTGCCTCCCAATTTCACTCTTGATATTTTGTTATCAAGAGCTTTTAAAAAATCACTAGGTAAACAGAAAGCCATAAAGGTCTCCATGTGTCAATGGGAGTGCTTCTATTCTGCTTTTGAAGTTTTCCACATTCTTTGAGACTGTGTCTTCAGAGAGAATAAAAAGATCAAATAAAAACTAGAGGAAACGACAGTCTCTATTACATTATCTTTGCCTTGGATACAGAATCCTTTTTCTCTTGCTACTGTCACAAGAGAAGTCATTAGGACATTCCAGGAAATATGTTCATCAACTGTTTCTTTGTCAAAGCTTGCATATATAATATTGCATAGCTTCTAAGTTGATGTAAAACACTCTTAAACTTTGGTGGAAGTTTCTTTTAAAATGTTATTTTAATGTTAAATATCATAAGTAGACAATGATCAGAGTCAATTTTAAACATTTGATCTATTGCTTGGGGCCTTACAATTTAATTTAATCTCCACGACAGCCTTCAACCAAGTTGGAGAAAGACTGAGCAAAGAAACACATTGCATGAGTTTCACTGTCAGTACATGCTGAGAATGCTGAGTTTGGGCCCATGTCTCATTGACATGGAAACTGATACATTTTCCATTGAATGATGTTTCCTGCCTAAGAGGAAAGTAGGCATGGGGCACTCTGTGTGCCAGTCACTAACCTTACAAATTCACTCCTGATATGAGTTAATGGCATCACAAGTACTTTTGAAACCTGTCTAGGAATCTAAATGGAAGTCAGTGACTTAGAGAATGGAGATTTGCTTCCTGCAAAGCATGCCTCATTTGATTAAAATTCTGAATTATGTGATTTTGTGTAGAGATTCTGCGAGTTGAGTCCTTTTTGGATTTGAAGTCTCCTGGATTTTAATTCAGTCATCTTAGCCTCATGTTTGCAGCTGATACTTCTATAAATCTTCATGTAGCTTCCTGTCACATAAGATCAGCTCCAACAGTCACCTCCAAAAAGGCCTTCCTTTACCATGCCAGGGACAGCTGAATATATCTGAAGAGGTAGGTTCAGCAAAGACCTCCTTGAAAAATGGCAGTTACCTGAAAGTTGAAGGGTGAACAGAACTATCAAGTAAAGCACTGGGACAGGGTATGCAGGGGTAAGGAACAACACGCTGGAGGAAAGCTGGAGGTTTGACAAGGTCGGCATATGCCATATGTTGTAGACAAGAAAAGAGCTTGAATTTTATAAGTATAAAAGGAAATCATGTAAGGATTTTCAACAAAGGAGCAGAACAATCTAATTTCCTTTAAGAAAATACCTAATTCAACTATGCAAAGAATGGCTTACAGAGAGGGGGAGAAGGAAGGTAAGCAAGGAGAAAAGTTAAGAGAGTACAGAGGTAGTTCGAGTAGGAGATGGTCGCAGCACAAAGCTGAGGAATGGCAGTGGATACAGAGAGAAGTGGATAAATTAGGGATATATTTTGGAAGTAGAATTGATCAAATTCGATTGTGGAACTGGTACAGGGCATTTGAGAGAAATAAGAATTAAAGCAGTCTGAGCTTTGTGACTTGATGGAAAAGGCTACAAAAAACAGGTATAAGAGTAAAGATGGAGCTCAGTTTCAACATGTTAAGTTTGAGAAACTATGAGACAGTAAAGTGAAGAAGACACCAACTGGGCGGTTGAAGGGTTTCTTAGCAACTCTAGGATGTTATAGGTTTTATAGAAATTTATGGAAAGTTTTACAATTTTTTATTTAAAAAACTGTCACAAGTAATACAGGTCTATGTTTATATAAAATATCAGTTCAATTCCATGAACTGATCATTTTGTTACAAATACTCTTTGTAATAATGATATTTCTAAATAGTTGAGTAACATTTCATTGATTTGGTTCAGGATATAACCCTGTTCTATACACACTGTCTCTACCTGACAATTACTTGCTTATATTCAATGTAGAATAAAAGCTAAATAGGAAGAGCTAAATTACAGACAGATTTATTACATCCTTTTAGATAGCTACTATATGAAAACCGGTATATTTGATTCTCTCTTTACCAAATTCTGCTACTACTCAATCTAGATTCTTTCCTCAGGATCTCATTCACAGCCATGGCCTTCATTAAATTCTTGTCTCTAGCTCTTGATCTCTCTGCTGAGATGTATTCTAGTTGCTTATAGCAACTGACTGTTTGTAGACTTTTAAACAAGAGTCTAAATCACAATTCATGATTTTCCTTCCACTCTACAAGATGGAATTCTTAGCCCTACCTAAGGGGCGCTATCAGTCAGAAGTCTACCCTATTACCACCCAGTCACTCTCAAGTAAGGACATATGAATCTTTTTAAAAATGTAACTTTGATCATATCACCTTTGCCTTAATTTTTTTTAAGAGTTTTCATTGCTCTTAGTTAAAAGTCTTAATATGGCAACAAAAGTGGGGGGGGGGGTAGAACAAGTTCCTATGTAATCCAGTTCTGACTTAGTCAAGGTTGGGGGAAAAGAAATCTTATATTTCCACCTGCACCAACTACCATCTGGTTCATTTCTGGGAAACTCACTGGTAAAAACACGCAGTCACTGTAGATATGACTGACATATGTGAGTTCTATGACCTTGATCAACTCATTTAACTTTCCTCAGATTGTTTCTTCCTTTCTGTATCAGACACTAACAAAGTCCCTTGAAGTAATGGAGCTGGGTCCAGATGTAAAGTCCAGAATGGGTATTCCACTACTAGACACACCGGCTTGAAAAGTTTAACTCTCTGTGTTTTAAGGTTTAACTGAACAGAAAAAGAGACCAGTAGGAGGGGAAAAAAAAAAAAGAGAACTAATAGCTTAGTCATCAAAATGCTGTCCCTATTCTTGAAACTTTGAGAGATCTTTATCTGTTTTCACTTGGTTAATAATCTTTGACAGTGTGAAATTTAGGAATGAAAAACTAATAGTGTAGGAAATAAAAAATGAGAAACAACATCTCATTCAAACTCTACATGGTAGTGTGAACTCTTTTCGAAAGACTAAAGCACAGATCTGAAAAGAATTGGGCAAAAAAAGAGATCAAATGGCAAGTTACAATGATATTCAATGTGTATAATTCCAGATTCAGAATTTACATTAAAAACCTTAATCTTAAAATAACAATGCCCCAAATCACAAAACTGGAAATAAGGTCAACTCTCAGAAGCAAGTGTCACATATATAAGCAAGACATCAAATATACATGTGCAGAGACAACAATATATAATATTACAAACAATCCTTTTATACACACTGAACTAAAACTATTCTGATAAATTTTAGTCACCAACAAATGTATTAGAAATTTCACATACTGTAAAGATTATTGTTACTTTATGATCTCTTAATTCAGTGCAACTTCACTATGGCTATAGAGCTTCTTACCTGAATGGGATCTTTGCAACGATTTAGAAATTATCACTTAAGGTAATTAATTCCCTCCAAAATGACAAATATGAAATTTTGTAATTGACTTTGAAAGCATAATTTGAGAGGAAATCAATTTTAAAAGTCAATGTTAGGACAATACCTTGACATGTACTAGATTACCAGTAATATCTGTCAAGTGGATGAGTGAGTTCTGTTTTCTAATTAATGACTGATAAGCCATGTTTTACATAATCTCATCTCTTGCCAGTAATATAATTAAGTAAATTCTATTTCTACTCTTTTACTTACTGGTTTTAAAGAATTACCTACAGTTTTTACTTTCTGACATCCAAAAGCTCTTGACTGGACTGATGAATCCCAAAGAGCAAGAGCCTAAATTATTTTCTTTGTCATGTTCAGGCCAACATTTCTTAATGTTGAAAATTTCTTAATAGTTAATACCACCTTTCAATGTCAATAAATTAAATAGTAAGATGTGAATTAACTTATGAGTAAAATATTAGACATTTTAAAATCATTTCTTATTAAGATATAAATTTTTATATTATGATCTTAGGTATTCTTCAATAAAAATAAAATTTGCTTTCTTATAGGTTGATATTTTTAAAAACACATTAGGGTTTCTACTGCAAAGGTTAATGCACTGTGTTTTTAAAACTCCTATAGAATTTCTAAATAGACTTTCCGAATTCCTTATAGTCAAAGACACGCTCTGAAATCATAAATACAAATCTCTAAGTTGCAGTACTCAGGACAAACAACCTTCTGTAACACAGAACATATTATCAGTTAACATCATCTTTGGAGAAGGGTATAAACATTCAAAGCATATTTAAGATTAAACTGTCCAGTTTTAGAAGCTGGTTTACTTTCATTGCATTTAAGACAAAGGATGAAAAATTCACTTTGTTTTCAGTGTCAACTGCTCATGAGAAGAAAAATTTCTGGACTCTATAGCTATCAGCATA